GGTGGTGGTGGTGGTGGTGGTGCTGGTGGTGCTGGTGGTGGTGGTGGTGGTGCTGGTGGTGGTGGTGGGTAGTGGTAGTGGTAGTGGTCGTGGTCGTGGTTGTGGTAGTGGTAGGGGTAGTGGTAGGTGGTGAGTGGTAGGTGGTGAGTGGTAGGTGGTGAGTGGTAGGTGGTGAGTGGTAGGTGGTAGAAGGATGGAGTAGGAGCAGGAGCAGCAGGAGCAGTAGTAGGAGTAGTAGTAGAAGTAGAGGTAGAAGTGGAAAAAGTAGTAGTAGTAGTAGTAGCAGCAGCAGACGCATCTGTCGTAGTAGTAGTCGTCGTCGTCGTCGTAGAATCGTAATAATAACAAACGCCGTAGAAACATCAGTAGTAGTAGTTAGTAGTTAGAAGTAGTAAGTAGCAGCTAGTGAGTAGTAGGTAGGCGGCAGTAAAAAGTAAGTAGTAAGTGGTAAGCAGTACTACGTAGCCAGTAGCAAGTAGTATATAAGTAGGAGCACTACTACTGCTACTTGCAGTTGCTACTCCTACTACTCCTACTCCTACTGCTACCACTACTACCACTACCACCACTATTCCTACTGCTACTGCTACTACTACACTACTCTACTCTACTCTACTCTACTCTACCCGACCCGACTCGACTCGACTCGACTCGACTCTACTCTACGACTACTACTACGACTACCTACTACTACTACTATTACTACTAACTACTACTACTACTACTACTACTCCTACTACTAATACTACTACTACTACTACTACTACTACTACTTTTTACTACTACTAACTACTAACTACTAACTACTAACTACTAACTACTAACTACTACTACTACTACTACTACTAACTACTAACTACTAACTACTACTACTAACTACTACTACTACTACTACTAACTACTACTACTACTACTACTACTAACTACTACTACTAACTACTACTACTACTAACTACTACTACTACTACTACTACTACTACTACTACTACTACTACTACTACTACTACTACTACTACTACTACTACTACTAACTACTACTACTACTAACTACTACTACTAACTACTACTACTAACTACTACTACTAACTACTACTACTAACTACTACTACTAACTACTACTACTAACTACTACTACTAACAGGCCCAACATGAATACCAAAAACAATGTTGAAAAGAAGGGTCCC